AGTTTAGCAGTAACTTAATGGCATCTGTTTGTATTTGCTTGCTGATTCTCTTAATACATTGATTGTGTCAGGGTGAGAAATGAACAGGAGCTTCAACTCTTTGAATGTTTCCTGACTCCCATGCAATAACCTTTTAAATATATTTAAACTGTATATATTTTGGGCTGTCTGATATCACAGTTGGTCCTTTCTGTACTGTTTTTCATCATAAACATGCAGCTCAGAGCGTTTATAAATTCTGGCATCAAGGAGCTGGAAGATGAAGAGTGTCTCTGAAAGTCTAAAGTTCCCAGATGATAAAAAGAAAAAAAAAATCTGTTTTTAAAAATTATGACTTTTGACTAACTGTTTTTGCTTTTAACTTGTGAAATACTTGGTATTTTACATCTTTAGAGCTTTAAAAATTCTTCATATGAAACAACCTGAGAAGCAAAAATCACTTCATTTCTTATAACGCCATTGATTGATTTTCCCCGTGTTTCAACGACTTTGCCTTGCAGAGCTTCAGGAGCAGCTGGACCGGGCCATGAGGCTGGAGGAGGAGAGGAGGAAGGTGGAGCGGGAGGCGGCCCGGCTGGAGGCTGAGAGGATGGAGGCCATAATAGCCAAGGAGGAGCTGGCCAGGCAGGCAGAGGACCAGTTAAAGAGCCAGGAGCATCTGGTGAGTGCACGGTGCAAGAAGTACTAAAGTCCTTCCCGTGAGAAAAAGTTGTGACAGCTAAAGCTCCTGGATTCAGAATAAACACATATTAGCGACTTTAACTACAATTTGAACAAATCCTTTAGTAAGTTTGGGGGATTTTCCTCCTTGTCTGGGATCAAATTCCTTCTGCTGGATGGGAAAATTCAATAAAACCTTTACTCGCACTAAAACTCTACAGAAAGTGTCAAATATTGTCACTGAACCAAAATAAGGACATTTTTATGTTTCTCATATATTTTATGAGCTCATCAGATGTTTAATGTGAAACCTGTGTTTGTAAATTAAGCAGAAAAACAGCTTTTACATAAATGCCCTGAAATTAAAAGTACTATGTGGGTTTTTTTTCACTTTGCATTTAAGCAGGGATGTTTGATTTTACCTTCACTTTCTTGTTCATTCGTTCATGAAATGAAAGCATGTCCAGATCACTGAGGTTGCCAAGTGAACAGGTATCTCGTCTTGGGTTTGTTTGACGGCATGGTTTGTGCCTCCTCCCTCCCTTTCAGGCTGCAGAGCTGGCCGAGTACAGTGCCAAGATCGCTCTGCTGGAGGAGGCCAAGAGAATGAAGGAGGAAGAGGCTGAGACATGGCACTGCAAGGTGAGTTTCCAACACGGCATCAGAGGATGCACGGCTCCTTGAAGTCACAGGGATCACCTGGAAAATGTCAGCACATACCATCTGGGCTATAGTTAACATTATAGTTAACATTACAGGAAATTTGGAAACACTTTAGTTCATCTGGTGTAACATTTATAGGCAGTATATAATATTTATGAAATCTTTTATTACACACTATGATGTAGTTGTAAGCAAATACAAGCAGTTGTTAATAATAAAATTGCACTGCTTGACCACTGCACAGTAAATGTCACGCACTATGTTTTTGTCACATTGTTTTGTACATACAGTATGTGTACATTTTCTTCATCCTTTTATTAACATGTTGATAAAAAGGGGCCACGCCCTCCAGACCTCATTGAATGAGGGCTTTAATGATTTACAGTTTAAGGAAATTAAAAGAAACATCTGCAGTCCAGCGAAGATGAGAGGGACGATACTTAGACTCGAGTATCAGTCCTTGAAGAAAAGGGACAAATGCTATGATGCCTTTCTTAGATGTAGAAGGAGAGAGAGAAGGATCAGGAATGTCTTATGTAGTGTTAAAAATCTCTGTCTATTCAAGGAAGGGCATGGCCAAAATATGTGAATAATGAGCACTAACATCGTCACATGTAGGGGGAACACTGTTCTCACAGAGCTCATGGGGTCTGACATTTGTGGATGTATTAGGTGAAGACAGGCTGGCATCAAAGTCCACTGTACTGTATCTACATTTTGTTTTATCCTTTTTCCGGTCCTTGTTTCACAATTGTCTTTTAGCACAACCCCAGGAGTATGTCACACTGCAGTTCACCACACATTACTTGTATATGTGGCATTAATCCTTGAATAAATGACCCATTCTGTAGGAATAAATCAAGCTAACATCTGTGGAAAAGACAAAGACATGTGCAAGTCATTATAAAACAAAGACCTGAGATCAGAGTCCAGCTCCACATGACAACATGTGATGCACTGATACTGTGAAAATGTCAATACATTCACTATGTTTGTTTAGATCAGATGATGCATGGTTTCAATATCATCCAATGAAACCATATCACAGTGAACGGCCCTGGTATCCATCCTAACCTAGAGTATGGTTATATTTTTGGTGACTTTTTAAAACCTGGCTGGGGACAAAAAAAGAGCTTTTTAAATAGCCTTTGGTTACAAAGCAATTTCCCTGTTAAACTTGTTCCCAGGCCAAGGAAGTGGAGGAGAACCTGGAGAAGACGAAGGAGGAGCTGCACAATGTGATGAGCACTACTAACTCAGCTCCTGCAGCTGTTTCCTCCTCCTCCTCCTCCTCCTCGGACAAGGAGAGCGACCATGACCACAGCGAAGAGAACAGCACCTACAGCGCCGAGCTGCAGACGCAGGGCATCACCGACCACTGTCAGGAGGAGGAGCGGCTCACCGAGGCCGAGAAGAACGAACGCCTGCAGAAGCAGCTGAAGGTGAGTCCAGGACCCCGGCAGCAGGTGGACATCTTCAGAAAAATAAATAAAAGTTGGATATTCACCTGAATTACAAGGCCAGTGGATGTTGCACCACCTAAAATATGTCCATGATTTAATAACAGCTTTAGAAAATTACAGTGCATTCAGTATGTGCACTCACTTTAATGAAGAACCTATGGTATATTCATTATGTGATATGATTAGATTATATTACAGAAACAAAATGAGATGAAGTTTAAATTATGGATTATGCAAGAGAAAAATTACTGCACAAGTTCTTTAACAGACAAAATGTGTGGTTTTCTCACAGTATATTATGACGCTTCATATGTGGCTAAATGTAGATTTAAATTTAAATGGCAGCCACTGTTTATTTACAGTATGTATATCCAAACTGGATCTATCTTAACATAAACAACAGCACTCAAGAAGTCCTGTAATGCTTTGGAAGAAATGTTCCTGTCTGGTGGCATATAGAGCTGGACTTTCACCTGTAAAGTGGATAAAGTCTGTGAGACAGACTGTACGGCCTTGTACTTGAGTAACTGAAATTTGCTGCCTCCTCAGGACCTGAGGTCAGAGCTCGAAGACGCCCGGGTTGAGAACAAGAAGACCCAGAATGATCTGCTCCATGCCGACAACATTCGAGCCGGCCGCGACAAGTACAAGACCCTGCGACAGATCCGTCAGGGCAACACCAAGCAGAGGATCGATGAGTTTGAGGCCTTGTAGAGACCCAGAGACCTGAACATCTCTCCCAGATACCTCATTTCTCTGTCCATATTCAGCGTCTTTTAATTTAAAGTGTAATGTAATTGTAGCCACACTTGATCTTAAAAGCCCAGAAAAACCACAGAGCTGTGTCTTGGGCTCATTGTGGGTTTTATTTTATCAGTTTAACTTTGTTTTTGTTTTCTCTGTAGTCCTGAAACATCTCCAAAGTCCTGTTAAGTCCCATTAAAATGCCATTCTGGATGACCACGTGTATATTATTAGTGTTTCCAGTATATGGCCTATATGAACAAAGCTTGTATAGGAGGTGAACCATAAAAATTATACACTACCGATCAAAAGTCTGGACACACTTTCCCATTGAATTGAATGGGTTACAATAAATGACCAAAAACATTATTCCAATACAGCTCAGCAGTTTCACTATTCTACCAACATAAACTGGTTAAATTGTGTGTAGCAAATGTCCTGTCTTATAGAGTTGCAACTTTATTGCAGCAACAATTATGCCTTATTCAATTGATTATTTTCCAATGAATCATTTTGTGTGTAAGTATTAAAAATGTCCAGTACACGTTGCCAGAGCTCAGGGTAACTTCATGCCTCTGAATAGTTCAAAATATAAAATAGAGATGAACACAAAATCCTCACATTTAAAAAGCTGAAACCAGAGGGTGGAGCAAGATATGAGATTTTTAAAAACTTGTATAAATATGACATTTAATACCTTACTTTTATAATCCCCCTTAAACTGGGTTTGTTTATGCCCATGCTGTACCTACTGAATTCATATCCAAACACCTTGCAGTTTTTCAGCCTGCCCCTGCCCCAGCATTAACAGACCTTCACCTGATGCAGCCTTATATTCAGGTAGGAGATAAAAAATGATCAATAAAATGACATTGTAATTTATTTTCACAATAGCTCTCCTTCATTTGACTGCTAACAGTTTTGTTCCTATAGTTGTGTTTGAGCTGAAGAGTCCTGAGGCCTGAACACCCTGAAAAGGATGTGCCATTTAAATATTGACTCAGGGAAAGGATGGTTATTAGGTTGCTAGACAACTTGTGAAGCCAGCGGAGCTACTCTGTTTAAATTGTCACTAGGTAAATATTTTTTCTGTCAATGAACACACGAATCATATTCTAAGTCATATTTGACGACGTTAGGAACTACTTGATATTGACTGAACCGCAGCCGATGGGGAAAAGACAGACTCTTTATTTCGGCCTCAGGGAAAGAAGGTGTGTGCGTGCGTAAAAACTCCAGAAAGGTGAGCTCCTTATTAGAGCTGCTACTCCAAGAAGCCGCCTCTGACAGGCTGTGGGATTGCCCTGTGTTTCTTTTCAGCAGAATCTAAATATAAGCCGGTGACAAATAGTCCAAATACAGTAGCAACCCAACTGTGATGTGGGGGTGGTGCTGAGAGAACAGCTTCGTCTCCAAAGTCCCCTCTGTTGGATCCGGAGTCTGTCAGGAGAAGGTCGCAGAGTCTCAGCTCCCACCTGCACTCAAAGATTTTTTTTTATCATGAAGAGACAAAACGCCAGGACTCTGGCCCTCATTATCAGCATCCTCGCCTACCTGGTGGTCGGAGCGGCCGTTTTCGAGACCCTGGAGTCGAAACAGGAGAAGAGTCACAAGCGGAAGCTCGACGCCAGAAAGTACGAACTCATGCGCAAATATAACTTGACCAAAGAGAACTTCGAGGAGCTGGAACACGTCATTTTACAGCTCAAACCTCACAAAGCAGGGGTTCAGTGGAGATTTTCCGGGTCATTTTACTTCGCCATCACTGTGATTACAACGATTGGTGAGCGGTATTCACTTTCTAATATATTTAATGATGAAATCGTCCTGTTGATGAGGCTGGAACCAAATGCATTTCACTGAAAGATGCTCCGTGCAGGGCCGTAGCCAGGATTTTAGGGACACTGAGGTCATGAATCCGCATTAACCCCTGTGAGGAAAACCCAGCCCCCAGTCTGTAAAACCAGTCTTTTTTTATTTTTTTTATAACTTTTGTTGTAGATTTTGTATTTTATACAGCCTACTAAACACTGCATATTCTGGACCAATGTATGTGATATTAGTCATTTAGGATTTAATAGTTGTATTATTTATATCTTATAAATTAGCATTTTATCCTTTATATAACTTTTTAAAATTGTAGTTCTTGTTCTAATTGCTCCACAGTCTGTTAGCACAGCCTTCAGAATATACCACATATTTGTTTATGGGTGTGACGGAACATTTGAACTGAATTTATTATATCTATTGAACATATTTTCTGTAAATCATCTTTCATTAAAGTCTAAATGCTGTTTCAAGCTCTCATCCACAATTCTTCACTCATTAATTTGTTGTTCCAAATTGGTCTTAGTTATTTTTACGGTTTTAAGGAGTGCTGGTGTTATTTTATTGTGCCGTTAATTTGTTTCCACTATGAGATTTTATTTCTGATTGTAACAAAACTAGTATACATAATTTTTTTGTCACATTTCTATATATTGGTGCTCTGTCTTCTGTTGTTTGTCTGATTGTTTTGCTGCCTTTCTTTGCCAGGACACCCTTGAAAAAAGAACTGATTAAAGGTTAAATGTCAGGGATATCATTTTTGTGAGACAGAAACTTTCTTTTTCTTTAGTTCTTCATCTTTTGAGTAAAAGAATATCTGCCTTAAAAACTTAGTTTTTGTGGAAGGTGTAATTTGAGTGAAATTGTATGAAAATGGAAAACTGGGAAAATGGAAATACCTTCTCAACATGCTAGAACCCACAAGCTGCTGAGGCCACAGGGGCATTTTTGCAGCTCTGGTTCATTGTCATTACAGTTTGGCCACTGTCTGTCTTTCTGATTTATTTCCAGTGTTTACAGCATTTCAGATGACAACAACGTGGGTGCAATAAATAAATAAATAGCTGTTAATTTATGGCATTAAAGTCAAGTCGAAAAGTGTGACTGGGCCTGCTTTTAACTGAAGGATTTGGTGGGAGTGTGTGCTGGTCTTCCTTAGATTTAAAACAAGTAGCAATTCTGAGATGATCACATTAGCTGAGGAGTTTGGTGTCAGTTACCAGTGACCACAGCATAAACTGCTCTACAGCTTCTTAGATACCACTTGGCAATGTCTGCACAGTGTCTAAGGTAGAAAAACCAATGTGTCTTTCAGGTTATGGCCATGCAGCGCCCAGCACCGACTCAGGGAAAGTGTTCTGCATGTTCTACGCTCTCCTGGGTATCCCGCTCACCCTGGTCATGTTCCAGAGCCTGGGCGAGCGGATCAACACGTTCGTCAGGTACCTGCTGCACCAAGCCAAGAAGTGCCTGGGAATGCATCAGACTGAGGTCTCCATGGCCAACATGGTGACAGTGGGCTTCTTCTCTTGCATGAGCACCCTGTGCATAGGGGCCGTGGCGTTTTCCAGCTGCGAGGGATGGAGCTTCCTCCATGCCTTCTATTTCTGCTTCATCACACTTACTACTATTGGGTTTGGAGACTATGTAGCTCTGCAGAAGGATGACGCTCTACAGAATGACCCACGCTATGTGGCTTTCTGCTTTATTTACATCCTGATGGGCCTGACAGTGATTGGAGCATTCCTGAACCTGGTGGTGCTTCGCTTCTTGACGATGAACACTGAGGATGAGTGGAGGGATGCCAAACAGAAGGCCTTGATGTCCGTCAGTAAACCCAGGGGAGAGGTGACTCGTTTAATTCCCTTGTCAGCCTCAACATCCTCCACACCTGTAACAGACAACACGACAAAGGCTAAAGATTTAAAAGGTGTCTACACTGAGGTGCTGCATTTCCAGACTATTTGTTCTTGCCTGTGGTACAGGAGCAAGGAGAAGCTGCAGGGCTCCACCATGATCCCTCAGGAGCTGACGTTCTCTGAAGCATACATGCAGCAGAACAGTAATTGTCCTCACTACATGGAGCCCGGATCAACAGGCTGTGTTTGCAGTCCACGTCAGTGCACAAGCATAAGCTCCATAACAACGGGCCTACACATTCTCTCTCCGTTCAGAGTGTTTAAAAGACGCAGCTCCGTCTAGCCTTCAGTACAGCAGATTTCAGGAAAGCACAGTATGTCTAAACTGCCAAGAGGAGAACAGATACTTGACAGTCCTCACAGCAAAGACATGACTGCAAGTAGATGTTTGTGGTGCTATAATCCCAGTAAACCAACAGTAGGACACACAAAAGGGAAGAGCACATACAATGCTGGAAACAGCAAAGTCTTAATCAAATATGTACTTGAGAAGCACACAGTATTCTGACTTGAGTCTTTTAATGGGGTGGCACGGTAGAGCAGTGATAACCGCTGTTGCCTCACAGCAAGAAGGTCCCGGGTTTGAGCCCCGGCTGCCCGGGCCCTTTCTGTGTGGAGTCTGCACATTCTTCCTGTGCCTGAGTGGGTTCTCTCCGGGTGCTCCGGCTTCCTCCCACAACCCAAAGACATGCAGCTTAGGTTGGCTGGAGACTCTAAATTACCCATAGGAGTGAGTGTGGTTGTTTGTCTACATGTCAGCCCTGTGATAGACTGGTGACCTGACCTAGGTGGACCCCGCCTCTCAGCCAGTGTCAGCTGGGATTGGCTCCAGCCTCCTGTGACCCTGTTCAAGATAAGCAGTATAGATAACTAATGGATGGATGGAGTCTTATACTGTGTGCTTCAAAGAGTCATGCAGGTGTGTAGGGCATCATCTGGGTGAACACACGCCATAAATTGGCAAAGTAAAATAACTGAAACATCTTGCACAACAGCTCTGCAGTGAATTCCAATTTTATGTTTTATTAATATTCTCAGAGGTGCTGATTCACCTCAGGGTTAAAGTTTGGGTTAAACTCACTAACCTCTTAAAGTTTGCAGTGTTGTTTGTCAGTTGTTTTCGTGTCTTAGGCGTATGTCTGGATGATTTTTTAAACTTTTCCCATCAATATTTTTGACTAATGCAGCACCAAGTCAGTAAACTGCCTTATGTTGCCTTAAAGACGTATTAAAGCAAATCATGATTGTCAGAACTTTACAAAGGCTGACAAACACTGATAGCTTCATATGACTCACATGTGTAGCTGCCTCTGTTATTTTCAGTGCTCTCTGCCCAAACTGCTGGTGCATCAGTCACAAACACTGCTGAATTATGTAACACCACAAGTGGAGAAGTTCAAAAAAATCACGTTGACATATCGCAAACATGGTGAAACTGCATTAGCAAAGAAGTAAAGTAGACACTCACCAGCACTGACTGAAACACACTTCACTGAATTTGTTTAACAACACTACAAAGCACTGCCTTAAAAATCACTGTCGGGCTAAATCAACACCTCTGATGGTCTCAAAAAATGGAACAGAAAGAGCTACAACCTGATATCTACTGCGGGGTTACTGTACTTTAAGGCGTTTCTGTTACTTTGTCCACCTATGTAGCTGATGACTGGTTACATCAGTCACTGTTTGACACAGCAGGGTCCAGAAGTAAGTTCAGAGTTGGTACCAGTCTGCTTCATTGTGTTTTAATGTTTAAATGCTTTGATCAGTCCTTCACGAGCTACACATCAACCATCCCAGATTCTTGTCAGGTACTTTTAAAGGTGCATTAACTAAGGATTTGCACATTTGTGTGATAACTCCACTGAAAATGGGACAGGACGTGGTGTCTTGTCAGCTACACCCCCCCCCTCCATGACCCTCTGCTGCCTACAGACGTTCAGTTGTTATTCCAGCTTCTCTACCCTGTGTTGTCAAAGTACAGTCTATAAATTAGCCCCACCTGCCACATAGCCAAGGATATAAAAGCATTTTTGAACCTTGAGTATGTAATTTCAAACAGGAAGCCATGGAGGAGCTCTGGGCAGCTAAAAGTCTAAAGGCAGTGGCTGCCGGAGTGACGAGGTGGCGTCTGTTGCACAGAGGGTGGGACAAAGAACAAAAACTAGAGTTAACATCAGTTTGGTTTTTTGATACGGGGTGGGGGGTTAAGGGCAGCCTCAGATTTGATTCGGATGTGATGTTCTGCCTTCTGGATGTGTTAACGTCTAAAGCTGTGTTTGCTTTGTTAACATTAGCGACCTAGCATGGTCGTAATATTACCTTTTATTGAATTAATATGATTTGTCGCTTCAGAGTAATTTGAGCTTTCTGTAACGTTAGTGCTTTGTGTCACATTAGCAGTAACCAGCCTTCTACTGGACTGACTAATGTACTTGTTGGTCATGTAATAATAACTTTGGACTGGAGGCAGCATTTTGTACAGTTTTTCACAACCTAGCATCCATAGTTAGGAAAACAAGAGAAGAAATATGTTTGTTCTGACCCCCCCTAGTCCCTCTAGCAGCTGAAAGAAATTAGGTAGAGTAACTTTAACAAGTAGTCCAAGCCCGTCCACCCTGGTCATCCCTGATCTCTGCTGCTAAGTAGGATTGGCCCTGGTTAGTACTTGCATGGGAGACCACATGAGAATCTCTATATGCAGCCACTTGGGCTGGACGCACTAGTGTACTCTATGTGCTGATCCAATGGGGGAGTTGCATCAGGAAGGGCATCTGGTGTAGAAGCTGTGCCAAATCATGTATGTATATTGCAGTAATCTGCTGTGGTGACCCCCAAGCAATGAGGAGCATTTGACAGAGGCACAACCTTTAAAAGAATGGTCTAAGATTTGAGAAATGTGCTTTCTTTCCAAGGTAGATGAGAAGATCAATACAACAACACCCATGTGTGTGTGTGTGCATTATGTGGCTCTGGCTCCATGCTTAACACACAGTCAGTGGTATCAATCTGTTCATCTAACTTTCAGGAAAAGAAACAAGTGTGTTCCCTACATATAATTTTACAAAGATGGCTTTAGGCCTACTATTCAAGATGCTGTCACCTCTTAAGATTTTGGTCCTTGTCAACAGCAGCAAAACACAGAATAGCTGCAATAGGTCATTCATGATTATCTGTCAAAGTTCATGTTTGTGCTATGACTTGACTGTGTTTCTCTCCACTCTGCTCTTTTTGACCTGAAGGACTGTGAGACTTCAGAGAACTCACTGACTGTCAAAGAAAACAAATTGAATATTCAGAAATGAAGCGTGCAGAGCTGTCCAAATCACATCTGGCTCAAACAGTAGATGCAAACTAATTTTAGAAGCAGGCTGTGATGACAGATGGGACAGAGTTTTCTGAGTTTGGAGAATGGATAATGAGTTGGTTGTCAGTCACAGATAATTATGCCACAATAGACTGAGGGTGTGTGATTGGCAGAAAAGGAAAAAATCCACCCTCAGATACTATCACTGGTATTTCTGGACCTATTTTATAGCTTAGCAGTGTATTTTTTTTTGTAGGCAGCGTGATGTGACGTCATGTTAAGTTTATTTGTGGCAGAGTTTTGATCCCCAAAGATGTTTGATTTAAAACCCTCAGATGGCAATGGCAGGTTTTTGAATCAAATCAGAAAGGAAGGGCTTTTGCTCTTTGATCTGCAAAGTTTTAACTTCAAACTGTTAAACAGTTTAGCAGCTATACAAAAAGGAATCACGTCTTGTTTGGAGGCAGAGTTGCCCCAGCAGTCGCCCCAACTAACCACAAAATATTTGATTAATCAAATACTTGTCTTGTTCTTAAAATGTCATAAATTAGTGACAAATTGTTGTTTAATTTTTTGACAGCCCAGGGTGTATTGTTTGATCAATATCTATAGTCAGTCTTCAGTGTACTGTAACAAATTAAAGTATCCATTCATCACACTTGAGCAACTAAAGAGTAAGTAGTGAATGTTTGCAGTTTTTCTTTAAAAAATATTAATTGGTGAAAAAAATATTTGATTTGTTTAATTTTCTGTCAATCAACTGATCATAGAGCTCCATTCTGGACTAGAAAATGTCCTCCCCTGTTTCCATCACTGTTTACATCAAACAGAAGTTCTTACTTTTCTGTTTGGATAGCTAAAAGGCATTCTGGGAAATGTAGGAAATCAACACCTGGTGGTGAAAGACTTGCTCAGATGCATTACTACAGTATAAGTGACAGTACAGCAATGTAGAAATACTTAATTAGAAGTTTTTAAAAAATCCTGCATTCAGACTTTTACTTAAGTAAGAAATATGGCAAATTGTAAAAGTATCCACTATGCAAACAATCCTCTTCACTGATATTATTGTGTATACAACAGATTATTATGACTGATGCAACAGTGTTTATGCAGCATTTTATTGGGAAATGTCTAAAAAAAATCAAGGCGCATGCTGTTGTAGCTGATTGAGGTCAGGTTTGCTCTAACTATTTTATAGTGAGCTTGTTTAGTTATCAACATAGGGGTTGGGTCCCACTAAAGGGTTATGACATAAATCTCATGAGCTCTGGGATGCTTTTTTGAGACAGGAAAGAAAAAGAGAAAAGTTCTGCTACACAAACCTGTATCCTTTGTTTTACTTTAAGATTTGCTTTTAGACTAGACACTTTCTATTTGTTTGTTTTTAAATTATCAAGCCACTTTGGACCCACTAGTTTAAAACTTTAGCAGTGCATTGTATTTTACAAACCACTGATACGTTTTCAATGTGATATGTTAATCTGTGAGGGAACCAGTAAGTCAAGCTGTCAAACAACTGTAGTGGAGTGACAAAGTAAAATATTTCCCACTGAAATGTAGTGAAGTATAAAAGTTCATAAAGTGGAAAAACACAAGTACCTCAAAAACGTACCTTAGTTATTTATATCCACCATTGCCACCACCTGAAGAAACAGTACACGAGTGAGATTGATGAGATTTTATTTCAAGATTGCTCCTGAAACAGATCAATTATTGTCTGAATATCTGAAGGTGGGTTTTTTTCCTTGTGACTTTCTGTCATTTGTTGCTGAAATCCCAGCCATGTGACAGACTGTACACAA